ACTAGCGATCGCGTCCAACCTACTAGCGATGGCCTTCAACCTAATAGCGATGGCGTCCAACAAACTAGCGATGGCCTCCAACCTACTAGCAATGGCCTCCAACCTACTAGTGATGGCCTCTAACCTACTAGCGATGGCGTCCAGCCTACTAGCGATGGCCTTCAACCTAATAGCGATGGCCTCCAACTGAATAGCGATGGCCTTCAATCCTAATAGCGATGGTCTTCAGCCTTCAACCTAATTGCGATGGCCTCCAACCTAATAGATGGCCTCCATGACCCACAGGGTTGTGAACCAAATCAAACCAGCAGGTGCTTTCCAAGCGCAGAACAAACAACAAAAAACAAACTCCCACACTGGTCTCCTGCTTGTTTGCCGCAGCCATGACGCAAGCATGCTGCACCTGGATGATGGCAGAAAGGAAGATTCGATGAACTTTCCTGTTGCTCCAGTTAGATAGATAGATAGATAGGTAGATAGATAGATAGATACCTTCCAGACTGCACCCCAAGCAGCCGCTCAATTTCTTTCCACATTCCTTTGGCATCAACAGCCAGCAAGTCTCTCAATACTTACATGATCTTACATGATAATACAAGAATTGTATGAAGCCTCAAACACGCCAGAATATCCAAATAATTTACGAACACGCCTTGCACTTGGGGAACTGCAAGTCTGCCATGGTTTTCAAGGAAAATAACGGTTACGCTGACATCCCATCATGACCTTCCCAAATCTTACAAGACTCTTGGTGCCTCCTTCGATGGAGGTCCCTAACAGCTCCTCCCGGCCGTCATGCATCGATCACCATGTCAACATAGATTCCCCGAATTTGTGGTCTGCTTATGGGATCACACCCAAAAACCGCAAAAACCACTTACAACATCTTACAACATGTTTTGTACAGTAAGATCTTTAAACACTTAACAACATATGATATGTTAACACACTTGACACGACATGCTCCTTCAATGTAAACCAGCCTCCCCTTTGTTCTCGGAAAGATGACGCTACAGTCGCACTTGGAGCCCCTGCGCGAGTTGAAGTGGCATCCATGCCTTTCAGAATGCATTTAGATGGGACGTGTGGAGGGCCCTACTGAAATTTAGAGATGGTGAGGTGTCCCCCTTTTTTGAGACACTTCCAATTATCCAACCATTGGCCACATTCTTGGCCAGGCCGCCCCCTGTATAGTCTCGCCAAGGTATAAATATGTTTGCCCGGAAATGATGGGTTTTCATCATTCCTGAGTCAGCTCAAGTAGAATACATATTTGGTGCGATAGAGAACAACCCCTGTGGTTGCAACCTTTAGCACCTCATTTGTCCGATGCTTTGAGCTGCTGAGTATCTTGGATCTGGTTTGTATCCACTAACCCTTCCGAGACAACAAACTGCTGCAAGAACTTCAATGGCATGATAGGAGCCAAGGAGTCCAGGTAGCACCATCGCGCACGCACTGTGCCTTTTTTGAAGAAGTCCTTGAGCTTCTCGACATTCCCCAGATGCGCGGCTTCCACCAGCTCATCCGCCATGGGATTTCACCCCGTGAAGGGCAAGCTGGTCACGGATCGGCGCGCATTCAACAGGAAACGAGCTGCCGGTCAATGGACTTCGGGTTCAGGGGGGTAGTCACATATTCTGGAGTCCCTGGAGATCCTTGCCCACACAGCCTTTAGAGCAATAGAAAGTGGAGCTTCCATCTGCTCTTTCGGGGGCCGACAGAATCTGTGCCTGCTCTTTTGTGCCAACTTGGATGACACTCCTTCTCAAAGCCAAACGGTTGTCAGGGGATGTCAGGGGTGCTGTGTGCTGTCAGAAGTTGATCCTGCCTTATTCTCATCAACATCTGTCTGCTTGACACTGCTTCTGATGGACTCCCAAAATGCATCGGACCGTGGCGTGCTTTAAGCCCACAACTCGATGTGAATCCAATAATCAAGCATGCGTGCTACATCGGGCTACATCATTGGCATACCACCTTGCCAATGAACCATGGTCTCCCAGAGCATACACTAATATACTACTTTATCGTGAGGCACGTGTTGGCGGGTACAGGTCCACTCCATGGGCCATGCTCTTATAATTGAGTCCTCACATTTTGACGTACAATGTATGCAGAATTTCATGCTTGCCATACATCTGGACTTCAAGTACCACTTGTTGAGCACAGAAAAGTGCACGAGAATGCGGACATCGTTCTCCCAAAAACTGAGACCCCGGTTATCATTCCTGATTTGTAGTCTAAGCCCTGGTATCAATGCTGGCTGGTTATTGGTTGATCGAACCACACGAAGGAGCAACAGCATCGAATCACGGCACCGGCTGTTGCTCCTGGCTCACAGGCTGACCCCTTCAGTGTCCTGGAGTCTCAACTCATGTGTTCTAGCTGTAGGTTGGGTTCCCAATGAGACTACAAATTAAACAAGTAAAGATCAGCACCCTGCGACAAAGGTATATATATATAGATAGGAATTATAAATATGTGTATATTGTTCTATAACTATTGCAGGAATCTGATCTACTGCTCACTTAACAAGTCCACTTTAGTACTATTCATTAATCTTTCAAATGCACTCAATGCAAAAGCTCACAAAGGAACCTGAGCACGAATTCACATTGATTGGGGCTGCGTTCCACCTCATCTAATATTCCCTCAGGAGCAAAGTAAGTACAAAGCTTCAGCCAGGAATTGGGGACTCATTCGCTGTAGCGACTATGGTGAAGTTCACTTTGGACCCTTTTGGCGACCCTCCAAGCCGCTTCGCATGGGCCTCTGTCACAAGGCCAGGTGCTACAAGACAAGACTGCCCACAATCATGAGGCAAGTGCTACCACCCAAGACCAAAGGACAAAGGCATGTCGGCAGATCATTTTTGGGATTGTCCAGTCGCGTTCGAAGAGGAGGATGCAGCACCAAAGAAAACCTGACCCTTCTTACATACTATCCTGGGTTGATAGATACTGTTAGAGGTTCACGTACACAAAGGCATTCATGGTAGAGCCGGTAGAGCTGTTCATTCACGGACCCCAGAAGAACATCCACCCCCAAACCCCTTCTCAAGCTTCTTGGGTCCCTCCGAACCCTTTGGATCTATATAACTCCGGAGACTTGCAAGCTGAAACCAGAAGCACATCCAATGTCAAACATTGCAACTAGTCACTAGTCGGGCCCACTACTTCAAGTTGAGAATGGCATTCACTCAGAGAGAGTCTTGAAATGTGGAGGCTTGCTCGTGAATCTGAGGCCATCAACAACATTATCAACGACTTTGCCTTTTGCCATAACACACCCGGAAAGAATAAAACACAGGTCAACAAATTCCATACTTTGATTGTAACAATCCTCCGGAAGAGAATCTCCGCTGGGAAAGCATTTAACACTAGTACTAGATCATCAGAAAAGCTAAATCAACGCCCTCCAAGTGAGGACATGATTGTTGGGCGGATTGAATGAAGCAGCAGAGTCTAAGGAGAAAGGCATCTTGATTGCTTCGTGGCTCTACATGCTACTTCTGCACGCCTTGGCGAGGAGCAATTAGACTTCACCATATTTCTGCAATGCTTTAGCTAAAACAGCAGATTTGAACAGGGGTGACTATGACAAACTAAAGACTCTCACAGTGAAGTCAGCTTTCTTGTTGCGACTCACCTGGCAAAACAGAATAGCAACCTTGGCATCACCAAATGACCTGACGGAAAAACAACTATTTGGTTGGAAAAGCACGTGGTACCCTGAAAGGACAGCCCTTCCGTTTTGTGATCAGCCACTTCTCCTGAGTCTCTGGAAAAAAAAGGTGCTGCTGGGCACTCGCCCCAACCACTCATTCCGCAGCATCCTCCTTGAGCAGCGGTGAACCGAGTGATGACTCTGAGAACATCCAGAGAATAATTAGATGACCTGGAGGCCTGGAGCCCCTAGTAGCTACTTGTTCCTAGTAGTAGGGCCAGGGAGCCCCTAGTAGCGTCCTTGCTCCTAGTGGCGATGCCCTTTGTTACTAGGAACTAGTAGCTTCTTGTTCCTGGCTGCTTGCCTGGAAATGGGGACAATGTAGATCAACAGAAACGTGGCAATCCAACTTCCAACACGACGCTTGTGGGCGATCGGGGATCTACCAACATGGAACACGACGTACATGGCCCACCAACACTCCTGAAACCCTGTCCCGTGACATCGCAACACATGCGGAGTCCGTATTAGCCAGGAGCTTCCCTGAAATGGTCGGAGAGGCTGTCACCACCTGCAATCGCATTGAGAGGGATGATACGACCGTGGTACAGCCAATTGAGTCAAATAGCAAATATGTATAATAGGATTATATAGGTACATTGTCAGCATCAGGAAACCACAGAACCAGCTGATTTGCAGGGCATTGCAGGGCGCGGTGGCATGTGTTCTTGGGTGAGCAGAGGTCCCTTTTTAAACGAAATAAGGAAGTCCGGGAGTTCAAGACCTACATAGATCGGCCAACTGCGCCCTGACAACGGAAGCTCCGATATTGCTGGGGCAGCAGGGCAGTGATGGCTTGTGGTCAGTTCGTAAACACACATGACACATGACCATTCCAAAGCAAACACGAATGATGCATTGTACATTAAAGTTGACGGTATACCCCTCAGAACTGCTGGCGCAGCAATCAAGCAATCCCTAAGATATTCTTATGATATTTTCCGGCAACATCAACCACCACTTAACTACTTACGTTGTGATTCGGCTCTTGATCAGTCTCGGATTTAAGACCTACTGGTTGCGATTCGTGGCATTTATATCATTTATATCAAGGTAGATTCCTGGGGCTGCGGCTACATTGATCTCCCAAGTGAGTTAAATAAAAAGCTTGTTGTCCCTCAGTGTGCGCCACCTTGATCTTCATTGGGCATCAAACTATGAGAAATGATCGCGGCCCCAATGAAGCGGATGGCTTTTGCAATGCCAAACCTCCTTGACCTTCGCTCACGCACTGCTAGGACCAATGTATTGAATCTGGATTGCGGTGGCAACATGTGAGATGACAAGCCTACATATTTCATCGAACAATTCTCATTCACGCTGCCACGCTGAATCTATATGCTTAGAAAGTGTTGAAGAAGCAATTCTTCACATCGGACCCCCGAGCTGCACAGTGCTACCAGCCTCTGCCACGACGATTGCGATGTCATCCAACCTCAAAGGAGCTCCAACGTGCATCGCCTTGTAGCCTACCAATCCCACCGGAAATACTAATATACAACCACCATACCGTTTGGGAAATCGGTGACTGCATGGACTAGGTTCCTCCTTGATGATTCTACGGTGGTCCTAATCTTGTCTGAAGCGGCTGGCTCTACTATGCTACTACAACCATCCTGGAGTCCTGGAGTAATTAGAATCTGAACCAATCCGAAAACATGACCACTTTCCCATTGCCTTTATTTTTCACACATATGGATGACTATGTATACATACATTGTCACCACATGGACAACATTGACTACAGTGGAGCTGCCAGGTTCCCAACTCCAGGTGCTTCGAAAAGCAAAACACACACATATCACATATTCATACATATTCTGCATATTTCTGCATATATATATATATATTATATATATATATTCTTTATAGACCTAGAACTGATATGTGAGTCGTTCTCACGAGTCAAAGTCGCGCAGCAAATACCACCTGTGCAGTGTTTTAGATAGTTCCTCTTGATTCGATAAATATCGAATATCATCAACAAAGAACCCTACTGATTTTTGAGCTCGCGATCTGATGAATCTGACGGGGAAGTCCCCCCAGTGCTTGAACACTTCCAGACGGTGGCTGGTGCGGGTGTAGAACCAGAATGGTTTTCTGTGTGTTTCTAATAGCTTCTTGTTCCTAGTAGTACGGCCAGGAGCCTCTAGTAGCGTCCTTGCTCCTAGTCGCGATGCCAGGAGCCCCTAGTAGCGTCCTTGCTCCTCCTTGTTCTTCTTCACTCCTTCCGAAATCGGGGTGCCTAGTCTCTGGCACCGATGAGCCGTTTCTGTGCCGCCGCACTTGCCGCCCGGGCCGAACTCGGCGGGTGCCCGGGCCTCCGTGGAGGGTCCAAGGTCGAAGGTGCGGTGGTCGGTGCACAGCGCGGTTGTTTGAGGCAAGTCCAACACCAATCCATGTCAATTCCTGGAACTGGACACACTACTTTGAGAAGACCAATCCTCTTAGAAGTGGGTTCTACCCTGAGGTCATATTTTTCATCCCACTGAACTGGCCCCATTAGCCCATGGAGCAAGCACGAATTGAATGAAGCAGCGCCGCAGTGTGAAGGTCGGTGGAACTGGGAATGGCCACATTATTGCTTGAACATCTTGGAACAACTTAAGCATTGCAAACACGGACATCAGCCCCCCTTCGAGATCCAAGTACGATGCTGCATCAGCTGCACGCTGAAGTAGCCTCACATGGAGCATTTGGACCGTCGAAGAATCAACATATATATATATATATAACCTGCTTCGGAACATCGAGATCAATCGAGATACTGTATTCTTGAGTATGTGGAATGTGGGATGCTATTTCATGCCCATGCGTGCTGCTCTAGTTGTTTGGGTTTTATGTTAAACCTCTTCAGGATCACTGGAGTGCTTGATTACAGCTACCGATTGACATCTAGGAGCAGCGAGCGGAAGGATCGATGTCTGATGCGAGCAAAACGGCTCATATCAAATCATACTGTATGAATGATTATGAATGATGTGTGCTATCATTTATCATACTTGAAATGCATAAATCGTAAATACAGTATGAGCCATACTTACCTTGAAGAGTTGATGCTCCACACACGTCCACCGCACTTGTCGTCGAGTCAATTGTCTGGAAAGTCATGGCAACTCCATGGGTCATGATGAATCCAAGTGTTCAAGGTCTTGATTCCTTTCACCAATGGCTTCCGATGGATCCTAGGTTGGAGGCCATTGCTGCTAGGTTGCAGGCCATCGCTATTAGACTGCTTCCTTTCATCCTGGACCATATGTACGAGTACCACCCAAATTGCATCACCCTATCCTCACCCTGCCCAACATGATAGGGGCTGGGTAGCAGTGGACCGTGATGGAAAGGGAGCCCAGTGGTCCAGGAGTGGCACTTTCCGCCTCTAATTCAGAAAAGGCGATGCTTTGAACTCACTGGACCCCCGAAGCCTCCAAGCATGGGACAACTGATTACATATCGTCTATGGATGGATATTCATGTAAAATATTATAGATTATTGTGGGTTTTGTGTTTACTCTGTGACAATCGATGTCTAATCCTTCACACATGTAAAGTGGCGTGCTGGGCAGCCCAACCCGTCTGCAAAGGCTTGCGCTGAGCGCTCCCGGCCTGGCTTCTTTTCGATCCCGAGCCTCATCAATTTTAATCTTCTGCTGTCACTGTACGCCTTTGGTCGCCTTTGGTGATCTATGTGCATAGAACTGTCCACCCTTGTAGCCGAGTGTAGCCTTTGCGCGACCCTGTGACCAATCTCCTGCAAAACGAACATTGTTCCTGCGCTACCCCACTACACTATAAGCTTCAGGACACTTTTCAAACCGTTCTCTACGCAACATAAACGTGCACTGGTGTCACTGGACCGTAACGAACTCGTCACTGAAACGGTGTCTCGAATGTCTCGGTGTCTATCGGTGACTTCGACCACGCACGGAAGAGGTAGACTCCAGACTTCGCCCCAGCATTTCCGACATCAACCGTTGAACGACACAACAACGCAAAAGAACGTCACAACACACAAAACAAATCTCCAACAAAACACGTTTGGGGTTGATCGGTCCGACCCCTGTGATGCCGGCTCAGAGAGTCAGAGAGTCCGCCACACGCCTACACTCCGAGGAACATGTTCGCCGACTCGACCCGGGACCTCTTGGAGATGGTCAGGGTCGGCCCCCAGGGGCGGCCGAACCAAACCATAGATTTTGTCCAATCCTCACATGGTTTGGTATGATTGGTGGAACACCCTGCCTTTGGGCCTTTGGGTCCTTTTCATGTCTTTGTTCATCAACCTGAACATCGGCGCTTCAACCCTGCTTCGGAATCTCGACGCTCTTCGTTCTCCCGAATGCCTTGGTGATGGGCTAATGCCAGGGACTTCAACTCCAGGTCCTGGCCATGGTGGTGAAATTCTTCGGGCGCAAGGACCATGCACTGATCCCAAACCAAAGGTTGGAATGTGGGTTCAATATCATTCAATTCCTGCAGTGGTTTAGGGCTCAATCGAGGGCTCATTCGAACTATAGACTGCAGCACGGGACGACACCATCAGATCCGAGCAAACCCTGCAAATGACCACCCAAAACTGATCCTGGCATCATACGCCCCGATACACCAACTTGCCTACCTCCCAACCGCAGCTTGGTGATGCCGCCTTTGGCCCCGGCCCAGCGCGGCGTGCGACCAGGGTCCCCGATGTTGTCATAGAGACCATCGGTGCCGGCGATGAGGAGGTCACCCTTCCTGAGCTTCAGCCTGCGAGGGGATGGAGGAAATTGGCCTGAGTGGTGTCAAAATCCATCTGGATCATCCTAATTGAGCCCTAGAGCAGCTCAATCCTTTTGTAAAGGTGAAAGGTAAACACTGGAATTGTTTGTTTTGCTTTCGGTGTTGCTAGGTAGCTCTTTCATTATCAACTTGAATTCTTCAAAACAGTATAATATATGATCTAATATAATATTCAATCATTTTGTAAAAGAAACAACACATCAACAAATAAATCGTCCTCCCTCTTATAAGGTTGATGACCTTCGCATTAAAGATGTCAGGTTCCGACCCGGGTGGCAGGAGCCAAGCCTCGAGGACTTTTGTGGATCAGGTAGATATAAAAAATAATCATTTGGTTCCTAGATTTTTAGGGAAACTCAAGCGATGGCCTCCAATCTAATAGCGATGACCTCCACCACCCTGATAGGACATCATACAGCAGAAAGAGTGGGATGGCGAGTTCCTCCGGGTCTACACGGCACCAGTGGGTCAAAAATCTGAAGCTTCCCAAGGTCCCTCTGGGACGTGCAGTTGACACTGTGGAATCTTCTAATTCCCTAGGCCCTAGGCCTTTTGTATCCACACACAAAATACACAAATAGCATGGCCGAAAGGGTGCTTTGCTCTACAAGCAAGTGTATGTATGTACGCATATAAAAATCAAGATGTAAGTACTTCCGACTACTAAGCTGGTAGCGTCTGATATCAAACCCATCGGAGCAACCTGAAACACCTATTCTGCCCTGCCCTTTACTATGCCCCTTGGTGTACTATAGTACTATGGCTGAAAATAGGCTCCAGGTTTGCAAGAAGACTTGTCGTTCGGTTGGAATGAGCGTGGCTCCATGCGGGACATACCAGATCCTCCAAACGAGATCCCCAACAGTCCACGGACAGTACATCATGTTCAATCAAAGGAGTAGGTCCAACCAGGGTCCGACATGAAGTGTGCAAGACCGGAGACTCTTCTTTTAATCACTACGCATCATTGGGCGAGCAGTCCTCATGCAACTCTGGCCATTCAAACTTGGCTTCGGCGGTGCATGGGATCTCTGGGATGATTTGTACCAAGCAACTACACCTGTACCCAAAATGCTAGACCTCAATCCATCTGAATCTCTGTTTTGCAAAAACAGTTGTCAAACATAGTCAAACCCGAAAACCCCGTTTGAACCGTTTGCTGGACCATCTTTTCGGGTTCATTGCACAGTGAAGACTGGCAGCCGAGATACTTTCTGTTCCAACATCGATGCCTCGATGCCGTGGTGCGCTTCAAAAGTCGTTGCTGTTGATTTCAAACTGCACCTCCTCACCAAGCTGAGTGGTGAATGTCGCTGGGCGCCCGCCCGAAAAAGAAGCGCCATCTTCGTGGTCTGTCGATCTTCCAAGAATCGAGTCGGTGTTCTTCCGTGTTCCTGCAAAAGTACTGTGGGAAATGCTGACCAGGGCTGTTTGGTGCTATCATTTCGTTCCACTGAACATATGTTCCTTTTTTCTGCTCTTGGGCAACTGCCAGTATTTGAGGGCTTTCTACCAAGCTGTCAATATACAAATGCAACTATATGTAACTTTATCATACTTGTTATTCAGCACATTTGTCATGTTATTCACTGATGCCTCTTGTGCTTTGTTGATGTACACAAGCAGATTTCCCACTGTGCCTTTTACCTCACTGTCCTCATGTCAAGCCTGTCGGGCAACAAGAACTATGCATCCACAAAGCTATGAACAGAAACGACATGTGTGCGACCCCCCCTTAGTTTCAAATCTAATCTAGCTGCGACTATGTATCTTGATGTATCTTCCGTCGCATGACAAATCATGCAGAACCCTCAGTCAGAACCTCTATGAGTCAGTCTCACTGCCAAGGAGATGGTCTGCCCTGCCTAGCAGCAACCAGATCTATTGCACAGATCCATCACTATTGCCATAGGGCAGGAATCTACATAATATCACCTGTCAGTCTTTGTATGCCATGCACCCAAATACGGGGGGAAACAACGATTTCTGCACGTGTCCAAATGGGGTGCACTATGCGCTGCTTTCGTTGGTCGCACTTTTTTTCATCAACATCTCTGTCTGCGCTTACCTGCCCATGTATCCAGCATTCACATTCAACACTTAGGCGTCTTTCTAATATGAATATACAGTTTCAACGAAGTGACTCTCCATGAAACATACAAAACTCTTCCACGTTCTCGCACCAGGACCATGTACCTAAAGTATTCCCATTGGCAACAATGCATATAACATCCATCCATCATGTCTATTTCCTGCTAAGCTGTGCGCGTCTCTGCATGTCCAATCAATGTTCAGTCCATCTAAGGACCATACTTCAAGCGTGCCTAGATATCTGCCTCCAAGTGCATTTGTGCAGTTCCTATCTAGCACCCATAGAACCATATCATGGATGTAAAGATATCTCTGTATGTGTCCACCTCACTCTTTATTCACCTTCATCTACCGACCTATGAATCAGTGCATGCCAATCCAAAGTCCATGAACATCCTCTTCTAGTACATACTAACCAATTCCAACCAATCTTCAAACGCAAGATCCGACAGTCCAAACCAACGTCTCACTGGCCGCAGGCTTTGCAGGCTTCAAGGCTTCGTCAGCTACGAACTGGGCGGATGACGCAGTATGCCGGGAGCGCAAATATAACCCCTGATGGACATGGTGGAACTGATGTCCACCCAGGATACTGAGCGTAAGGTTTGGTAGTTGAGTCATAATATATAGTTCCAAAATTCAATCAATGGTCAGTTTTTTTTGACACTCCCCAGATTGCATCCTTTACAAATAAGTACATCTAATTACAATAACGTCATTGCTAGACCTTTTTTTGGTGGCCACGAGTACATTCCCCTGCCATCAAAAACATATTATCCCCGGCATCAGCCTCAGCTGTTGAAACTTTGTCATTTTGTTTTTCCCAAAACAACGACAACTTGTTGTTTTTGTGCGGGGTCATCTGCCATCTGCCAACCTTTCGAACTATGTTCAATTTGCCACAGTAGGCAATTTTTCATGTTGTCATGTTTGGATGTTCACAACAAGTCTGGTTTGCGTGTTTTTGTTGGATTGGTGGAACGTTGTTGGAAGGACCGGGGGTGGTTGTGGGGATCAAACCGGACACCCTTCCGTCCTTGGGCACATCCAACCCCAAACCACCCAAACTGAACCAAATGGACACCCCTTCCCCCCTTCCGAAGAAATGTCGATTGGTCTTTCGGTGCGTGGTCACACACGAATTCCACGCAATTAGTCGTGTAAGCGACTCTTGTAGGATTGGACACACCAAAAACCAAAGCGAAGGCAAAGGCCGAATTGGCCGAGACCCGGGCAAGCATCATTTGGCGCCTAGGCTAGCCAATCGTCCAAATGCCCAGCGACACAGGTGTTTGCATGCACCTTGCCCATGTATACTGGTATTTGCATATAGATACTGTATATATATATATATAGAAAACTATATATATACACATAATTATACATTGGCCACCTCAAGCCATTCAGTGCTCAAGCAGGCTGCCTTGTGCGGACATCTTTGGCGTTTCTGATGGTTCTGAAGCCATCCTGGGTCTTTGGCCGTGATTGTGTGGGACCTCCTCGGCATCACTTCATCAAGGACTCTCTGCACCCGGTGATCATCTTCACCAACCTCATTTGGGACATCTGCCCGTGATCCCACACCTTTATTTTTGCTTTCGTGATGATCACGTTTGAAAGGGAGAACGTAATTTGAAGGAGATGGTGCAGATCCTATCAAGTCTGCTCTTCGAAGACCTGAATCTGGGAGGATAGGATTCGTGAGGGCTACACCTGTCAGAAGTGTGGCACGCATTGGAGCAAGCCGTTTCTCCATACTCCAACACCCAAAAGATAAATAGACAACCTTGGGGAAAACGCTCAAGGCTGTGGCAGCTCTGCTCAGGGAAGTTCACGATCTGGAAGATTTTGAGGTAGCCAATTTACTGTCAGCTTGCCCTTCTTGCGCGATGCCACCACAATGGGCAACAGCTTATGATTGATTTGAAGAGGAATCAACATTTGGTTCGCAACCACCTTGGTTTTATCAGGAGAGGTTGATCACTTCTCGGTCAACAGTTAATACCTTCTTGCTTTCCCAGGTTTGAGTGTTGACCAGCATCTTCAGGAACACTGTGCACCTGTGCTTTGGCAATGCGGTCCTCCGTCAATGGTGCTGGCTTGGGCTTTCGCTGAGCAGTCAGGCCTGGAACCGTTTAAGGTAAGCGGTCCGACAATGCCTCTGTCAGTGATGATTTGCCACAGAGTATCACTGGGCTGCATTTGGTGTGAATCACATCTGGAGCAACTTCACGGAGCGCCAGCAAGCTGACGCAGCAGGAGTTCATGGACAACTGTGGACTGTGGAGCTTTGCAGCGGGCACTTTCGTTGGCGGCAAGTTCTTTCGTGTCACCCCTGCTGGAGCCTTAGATGAAAGGGAGCAAGTCCCGCTTCACCTTGTTTCCACTATGGGCCCTGAACCCGTGCAACTTGATGCGCTCATCACGGAGTGGGCAAATGAAGGCAATGGCCAGTACCTGTACGGAACCGCTGGAGGTCTGGTTCTTCAACTGCAATGTTTTCAATTGGTCAAAGACATTTGGCGGACATTACCACTTTGGCTTCTATGCCTTCTCTCCAACGATGATGTACACATCCACTTGGCTCGCTGTCGTATTGTCAGGTTGGTTCTTCATGTGGGGCAAGGACATGAAAATGGGTACTACGTGCAATCCTTGCCATGGACAATGTTTTCTGGATGGTGATGATGATACATTATCCACACCCACCCCACACCTCACCGCTGAACATCCTGCCCAAGTTGTCCAAGTGTGGAATGTTCACGATCGTCCTGATGAGGTCATGCCTGAAGAACTTGAGGACATTCAATAAGAAAAGAGCACAAAGAGCAGCAACGCAGCAACGTCATCTTCTGTCGGTGGCAAGGAGGTTCAGG